AAGGAGTCTGTCAGATTCTTTGGCACTACAAATCTATGAACATTTTCAGTCATCCAGGTCATGGTTATTCTTATAGTTTAATTTGGCACTACAAGTCTCTTAGATGGTCCAGCATGCATGACAGGAACCTGAGGCAGTTAGGTGAAGGTACTATAACGTTTTAGTGACTGATTGTACCTGATAGAACTGACGCTAATCAATCAATCAATCAATCAATCAATAATACTTTATTAATCCCTTACAGGGAAATTACCTTCACAGTTACATCTGTCCGAGACAGGAACTGTCGGGACTGCCAGCCAAGCCAGCGCCCTTTAATTCAAAAGTCAAAGATTGTACCCCACTAGCATCTCTTTATTACTTTACTTGTAGTGCCCCAAACTTTTGCACAGTGCTGTACAAACAGACCACTTAAATCCTACCCAGCAGTGAGAGGTTCTGGTAGGCCCACTTACCCTTCGAATGTGTCCTTTGCAATAACAGCCACAAACAGCACGGCGAATGCAAACAGCCTCCTCATCGTGACCAACAGTGTAACTCTGTCAGGACCCCAACACAAGCTTTTATTGTTTTGTGTGTCAGGTCACATGTAAACCACGACCTTGTTTAAGGTGATGGAGGTGTGTCACCGGCTGGAGCAGTTCCCACACCAGCCTGAAGATACCGTACCAATAGTAACACCAGGCAATTAGCTGTTGTTGACATATTAACTTGTGTTGAATTCACACAGACAGAGAAAGGTTGTATGAGGTCTGCTGGATTTGGTTTTGGTTGATGAGCACTGCACATAAGCTTGCTAGAATTTTCGTCCATTCGTCTGTAAAGAAAAGCTTCAACTAGGCGATGTTGATGGTTACCTGCATGAACTACTTGCTTCTGTTCCTTCCACATCATTTCCATTGGATTAAATTCAGGACTTTGATTAGGCTATTCCACTTCAATAACTATATTGTTCTTTAACCAATTTTTGGATCAACTTGTGTGCTTGAGGTCATTGTTGTGCAGCATTACCCACTTTAATAGATCCTTGCTCTCTCAATAAAACAGAGCAACCACTCCCACCTGATTGCTATCCTACTGACTGAAAACACCTACCTGCATTCACATCCTTTTGCCACTCACAGATATGTAACAATGCATCATTTTCCTCAATAA